GGTGGTGCCAGTGGCTTGAAGTACTGTTCTTTCTGTTTCCTGTGTTGCACCTATTTATTCTTTAGTAAGGAGACACAGGAGGAATGAGCTTTATTTAATAAGCAAGGCCACTAGGAAAGTTACAAAGGGATTTCTTCCACTGCTGTGTTGTACAAATGAGATGGGGATCTTTTTCTTCAAGTTGCCTTTTTCATGTTTTTAACCTTTCTCAGTTTAAAACCTCCTGATGAGGAGGAACTAAACAAAATAAAAAAAGCTTTTACTTTGCAACTGATTCGGCAATGCATATTACACTAATAGTGATTTTAAAAGGCCATATGTTACTTAAACTCAAATAAGGTGAAAGAAATCTAAATTTAAAGATCTGTTTAATCTTGGGATACATTCCCTTATTTTTTAAGTGTTCCTCTTTATTAAAAAGAAAACTATATAAATTCTTAACAAATACCTTTCACCTACAACGGTGGTCATAACTAATTGCCTAATAGCCTAGACCTGAATAGACACTATTGTGGGGCTTGTACTGTACAAGAAGAAACACGTGTAGTACTTGAGCGCTTTACTTCACTTTTATATGCCTTTTTTATTCTTTTGCTGTTTTATTTAAAACAAAAATGACCTTTTTGTTTGTCCTTCCCTACATAATCTCAGATAAATCTGATATTAAGTTTCATAAGAAATCTCAAACTATTCATTATTTTTTTAATGGTGGACCAATATTGTTTATATATGAGTGGGGTCACTAACATACGGTGTAAACACTTGAAATCCATGTTAATTAAAGATATCAGTTCAAACGAAGCAAACAGAAAATGTAAAAAATATGACTTCTCTTAAATTCCTAAACAACCTCATTCTGCTGCCTTCTTTGTTCTGTTATCACAACAACAAATATAATTTCTGCAATTTAAAAAACTACAGCACAATTTTATGCTAATTTGTAAACCATCTGAGTACATTCATACTTTCCACACCTTAAGATATATAATAAAAAGAAGACGCTTCACTTTCATAAATTTCATATTTTGTCTTTTTCTGCCCTAATTGTTTTTGCAAACTTGATAACAGTTCTGTATTTTAATTAATTTAAGGATGTTTAAATCTTGAAAACATTCAATGAACTGTTAAATTGCAAGCTGTGATATATTTGTACATTACACAGTTATCTGTTGTATATAACTTGTAAAATGCATTATTGTCTACCCTTAGTAATAAATACAGGGATGTCAACTCAGTGTATTAATACAGTCATTCTAGTTGGAACTAATTTCATCTATGTACTCATCCAAGTCCAGTTTGTAAAATCAATTCTCTTTGAGTGAGATACAGGACACTCCCTGCCTTTGAGTATAAGCTCTCCAGTAATGAAGGACATATTCTTGCATCTCTCACCTATGTTTTTAAAGAGCTTCTTTAACCTTTCACAGGTCAATATATTTCTGTAGTCATTTAGCCTCAGCAGTAGTTTTATTTCATTTAATCATGATGATAGATTTGAACCTGAGTTGTCCAGATGAGAAATCATTTGAATGGCTGTAATCTCAGACAGTTCAGAGTAAATTCTTAATGTTCATTGACTTTTGTTTTAGATGCCCACTCTTAGACCTCAAAATTGGCATTTTATTATTTTCAGACAGTATTAAATATCTTGTATGTATTAATTTTCAAAGCTAAACTGACGGTATGAAGAAGCCTCATATCACCGCCACAAAGGCTTGATTTTTGGCTTTTTTGCTGTTTTGATAGTTGTATTTATAAATATACAGTATACATCCAAGAAAAGTGTTTGAGATTGTATTGGTAAATATGTGTTGTACAGTCTTTACACATTCAGTAACCGAAAATGAAATATACAAATTTGTTGTTTTTTTTCTTTAACATGTCCCTTGTCCTGCACAGGTCATTGCTATATTACCTTGATCTTAAATTCAGTCACTCAAAAAATGAATTATCAGTCCAACACCTTTCTTTATCTTTTCTCAGCTCATAGAATTTCGTGATCATTAGATGGTTTCATTTGCACCATACACTTGTACCATAGAAAATGTGTTGCTGTACATAGTATGTTGTTCTTTAGCTCAAGATTTTGGGGGATGAGTTGAAATGTACTTTTTTATTGGGATATCCAGATCAAATTTCAGTTATGTCTATATGATTTGCTTTTTTATTCTGTTTTAAGTTTATCAAGCATTCTCCTATGCATTCTTGTTTTTGCATAGAGAGGTTTCTGGTCTGAAAGGTCTGTGCTGCTAGAATGACTTCAGAAGAGTTTTGTTAAGTGTGAACAATTGGAAGTATGTCTATTGTGGGCCAGATGAAGTCTGTGATGTTTCACTGCAGGGGGTATAAAAAAGAAACTTGCAACCAACTGTGCCTCCCATGCAGGTGCACCATATTGTACTTGCAGTTTACATTCCAGTGTTGTTTTAATTTTAATTCATAGGGGAATATGGGTTCACCTGCAACAGAATCACAACATGGAAATCAGCAGCAATAACAGGGTGATCTGAAAAGTGGTTTACTTGTGCTTATGGATAGATTGTTATATATCTGTAATTGTAATGTAACTAAAACTTATATGGTAGGGTATTAATAAGTAAGAAATGAAACCACAGAAAAATACAATTTATGTGATTTAGTCCTCGAAACCACAGAAAAATTCAATTGATTTAGTGCTCCAGTAGCTAAAGCAAAACAAGGGGAATATCAGAACTGCTTTACTTAAAATTTATGAAAAATGTTATGGTATTGTGAACTTGCCAAGGAAATGCTGTTAAATTTTAAATGTCTGTATCGGGATTCTTTCTACTCTGTGAGACCTGGAGTGTGGTCTCTGATTGTTGTTCTTTGCAATAGAAAAAGAGCTCTGAGGCTTTAGTGGGATTTTGAAGAAGAACAGCAGGATTTACATCAGGGCTCAAAGTATAACCTACGGGAAAGTATTGAAAGAATCAAAGTTCTGTAACTTTCCCAGACAAAGATGTTTTTAAGCCAGTAGTAATAAGATTGTATATACTTTGTAATGCTATCAATTTTCAGATTGTGTATTTTATGGATGTTATTTTTGCTGCAGATTTTGACAGTTTCAATATTTCTATATTTGCAAAACAGTTATTAATGAAGAGGTAACAGGTTTATTCCATGCTGAAAAGAAAAGAAAGGAAACACAATGTTTCAGCTGTGGAGCCTTCTTCACATGGCTGAAGAAACATTGTGCTTCCTTTCTTTTCTATTCAGCATGGAATAAACCCATTACTTGTTCCTTTGCAGCCTACGCACGCTGATGCAGCTACCTACTTGAAGTAATTAAGTAAGGTTGTTCCAATTATGTAATCTCCAAATCAATTCAGAACCTTTAGTTAACAATGTGTAACTGTTCCATGGAACGTTTCGTCTGGAACAAAATGTGAGCAAGTGAGATGAGAGTGTTGCACAAATACACTCTTTACATGGAGTTTATTAAGTTTGTTTCATAATTTTGCCTTCAAGCCATCAGTTTTTAACTTGATCTTTTCAGTTCTTTTTAGCTATTTTAGTATAATCTGATAAAAGAACCCCAGAAAACGTCAAAGATAATCCTAGAAATAAGGGATTGATTTTACTGTATTACTGGCTGTTCAGAGTGTTTTTCTAGACTTATTGGCCAGGAAGCTTAAACAGGTACCATTGAGGCATTTTTCATTTTGGGGTTTTAGTTTGTACTCTGTGCTGGATTTGTTATATTCCTATAAAATAAAAAAAAGATAATTCACAACAGGCAATTGTTTAGAACTTATGTTACAGGATATCAATGTGTATGCATGTTAAGGGCAACAGGTAACATGCCAATGAAGTAAAGTACTTGAGCAGAGCAGTTAGATAAGTGAAAATCCTTAAAGGGGTTAAGGTTGGAAAGATTTTTTTTAATTACTGAAAAACAACATGCAAGATTATGTATGTAAATGTGTGATTGCATTACATAACTTTCTTGGAGATTTCTTGAGGATAATTATTTTTCCTCTTCACTCTTTAACTACAGTTCTAAAACAATTATTGATGCAAATAATACTGTACATAGCACGTAGTTCTAGGTTCTCTTAGAGTAAAGGTTAAATAAAATAAATTAACTTTTTTATAAAAAAGTGTTTTTTTATGTTTAACATTTAAATGCTATCATTCATGTAAAAATGTAATCTGAAAAAAAAACACTGGACATGTTTATATGATTTTTGTATTTTATAAATATGTTATTTTAAAAAGTCATGCAATATACAAATAAACTAGAAACTAGGCAAACTAAAAGGAACTAGACTCTAGACTAAATACTAGGAACTAGACAGAAAATTGTGAAAGCCTTTCGTATCAGAGCAAAATCTCTAAATAGATCAAAATCTCTAGGTAAATAAACAAATAATAGATAAACAATCTCTAAAATACAAGAAACTAAAGAGAATTGCTTATTATTATTATAATTATAGAATTGAAATAGAAACCTGAAGAAATAAAGTGATTTTTGTTTTATGTGAATAACATAAAAGCTCAAACTCAATGCATATCTCTAGGATACCTGCCAGACTGACTGATCGTTGATATTCTTTTCCATTTCCCTGTTTTTTCTGCCTCTTACAGGCACTTCAATGTGAACATTGCACAGCTGACTGTAAGCACTTGGCACAATATAAAAAGATTATTAGTAGCAATATAATTGGAATCAGTTATGGCGAGGTTGAGTCTATATGTCACCCATTTTTACAAGATAATAAAAAGTGCCCGGAAGGTATGCATTAATAAAGGTCTAAGTGATAAAGCTATCTAAGAGTTATTGACTGCAAATAGTACATGGTACAGACGCTGGGTTTATTCCAGCTTTCCATATGGGCATCTCAGTGCTTACCCAGGTTTTCTGATTGCTGATTTTTCTTGTTTATCTATCAAAAACAAATTTTAGGAACTTGTCGAAACAAACGGAGTTAGTATGAAAACCTCAATTTGCCACTTTCTCTCTCTTTCTGCCTCTCCAGATTGGGCAGAAACAACACGTTTTGGTCACGGAAGAGTCCTTTGATGGCCAGTATTATGTTGCTCACAATAAATTTTACGAGCAGGTAAGTAACAGCATTCTGACAACCTCTTATTATTAAGAAAATTCTATTAAAGTGAAAAGTGCCTGTTTACTTTAAAAAGGTCTAACCTTATATTAAAGTTTGTTTGCATTTCTTTGATGTTATAATAAAGAAATTTACTGTCCAATACTCATGCATTTAACAGAAATGGTGTGTGAGTGGTTAGGAAAACAATAAATTAAGCAAAGATTTTCTGGAATAATTTAAAATAATCTTCCTTATAGAGTTGACAAGGTCATTGTATGTTCTGTTTCCACAAAAATTATTATTAAAATAAAATTAAAGTGGAAAAAAACAACATGTTCAGGCATAAAGGGTTTCAAGAACAAATTGGCCTAGCTGTACATTTCCTATTTTCAGGCAATTTTTCAAGTTCTAAAATGAGTACAACTAATGCATAGACTCCACCACAATATCCAATAACTTGGGAACTGGGGTTAATACAACTGAATACAATTTGTTCCTCTGCAGACTACACATGCTGACGCAGCTACCCATCTGAACTACTTAATACAACTGAATCCTTTGTTATCTTAACATTAAATATAAGATCAGAACTTGTCAGCATTCAGAGAAGTTGATTTAAAGAATGGTTTGCAAATATTGCTTATAATGAATCAATTTACTGATAGGTGTGTGAACAAACTTCAAAAACTCTGACTCATGAGAAGCTCATAACATAAAACTCTTAGAAGTATGACCCGAGGGAAACTCCTGCCTACAAGTGTCGTTCAATGGTCTTCTCATGAGACAAATATTAATTAATTGTTTTTAGCAATCTGTTTCTCAAGTTTTTAATACCTGCATCATGGCAGAAATGAGTTTGATGGCCTAACCATGGCAAGCTATATCTGGTATTTAAAACACAATGCCCTCATATTTATAGTCGTATAACCTGTATACTGTATGTGTAAATTATAGTGCACATTTTCTGATTATTTGTAGATACTTTATATACTGTATATTCAGTATGAAGTATAGGCTGTATAAACCATCAGGTTTTATTGCAAAAGTTGATATTTTAAAATACACAGTCTGTACAGCAAGATACTGTATATGAGATCTGAATATATTCCTCCAGGGGTCACTCAGTTTATAGAAACTGACCTGCCATTGATTACTCTATTCTTAGGACACAACAAAACTTGCCCTTGTTTTAATTGGTTGTGGTAGAATAATGTGTGAAGGGATCAGCAGTGTCATATTTATTCAAGGTGTAAGGAGGGTTTCCTTCTTTCCTTCCTTTCTTTTATTTGGATCTCAGAATAAATGGATTCAGAATAGATTCCAGAATGCTTCCAGTTAAAGTTGGACTTCAGTGGGATTTTTTTAAATGAAAGTCTAAATCCAGGAATTTATTGTAATGTTAAAGTGTTTAATCAGTTTCCCTGTGCTTGGCACATCATAAGTGCGTTGAACCTTCTCGTCTATCTCAGCAGGGCTCTTTCATTTTTTAATCACCTGTCACAGGGATTCTGACAGCCTTCTCGGTTGTACAGAAACCTTTGCTGTAACCATTGGGACCATTTTGCAGTACACAATAAAATACTTGTGCTAGATAAGTGTAAAACAGCAGGTAAGTTGACTAAATTAGCTACCAGCCGTGATTAAAAAGCCATTGACATTTACAAGTGTTTTTAGTCTATTTTGAATTTTGATTGGAGAAATATGTGCAAAAGATTCTGCACAACTCTTTGAAATACAAAAGAAATGAATCCGTTCAGTGATTCCTTTCGAGAACCAGTTTTGATCATGATATTTGACTTGAAATAAAAAATCCTTGCTTTGTGCATTTTCCTGGTGCAATTTTTTTATGGAATGAGGGTGACTGGGTAGGTGGTGTGGTAAACCATTATCCTTACAAACAGTTCACCTTTGGAGGCCTGGGTTCAAATCTATCTCCATGGAAATGAGTTTGTTGGACATTTGTATATATTACAAAACCACTACAGCATTCATGGCAATTGGGTATTTTCTAGCAATCATTCTGAAAAATATACTTACAATTGATGGGAACTAAAATTACCTAACAGAGTGGCCCTTTTAAGGCAGGTTTGAGGTGAAGGTGTGGGGTTGAGAGAGGAAGCTTTCTGCCTGGTTAGATGGTTGTTCAATACCTGTTCTGTGGAGACAAAAATAATTTTATTCACACTGTCTGGTCATTAACCATAAATGTTATGGTCTGGTCATGTTATGATAAACACCATACCCACATTCTCTTTGCTTACAGCGTAAAGTTTTTTATCAAAACGCTGTGAATAGAAGCTGAGAGGAGTACTTTAGGGTCTGGAAAAAAGACCTTAAAAGTAGTAGTAACAAAGAGAGTTTTAGATTAAACCACGTAAATTCCAATGCATACAGTATACAGTATATTTAATGTATTCTTTATGTGTAGACTTATGCTATAGGTGTCTTGGAGATTTCTCTAAAATGGGTGAAGACTGTAGAAAAATGAATGTATAACCACTGGGAGCTAGCTGTGCAATATTATTTGTAGCTTATAGCAAATATCTTGAGAAAGCTATGACGCACAAATGGATGGCACTTTAAACATTTTAATATGAAGTGCATTTTCTTATTCATCTCTCATTTTTGATTGTTTTACTCCACTAGATTTGAAGATTTCACATTCCATAGAAGATCCTAATAATGATCATTTTTAAATTATGTTCTTGGGTATTTCAAAGTGGAGACTGGTCTGAGTTGGTTTTGAAGTATATGTGTGATATTGTATATTGGCAGTGGGAATTGCTGTTGAGCTTGACAGGTGAGTCTAGACTGGACTGGAGAAATTAACCCAGCCAGCATTGCTAATTGTACAAGAAAATGCCAGCTCAGCACCATTGATCTCAATTGATTTAAGTGCTCTTTCATATCACATGGGCCAACTGGAAATCAATATGGTTTTCAGAAGGCTACAGACTAGTGCAGAGTATAAAGGATCTCTAGATGATCTGAAGCTTTGTATATTGAACATTATAAGAGAAAGTCTGAAACATTCTAAGGAATGTTTCTAAAATCTCCTATCTTTCAAGTCTCGCTTTCAGTACCCTGGAAAGAAAGGATGCTTGATGGAATTTTTCCAGTAACAGCACCCTTGATCGAGAGTACACAGTAGCCCATAATTCAGCTTATGGCCACAGACGTCACACTTTATGTTTGAAATGCTTTATTGGTTTTCTGATTTTTTTTTCTTCTGTTTTGAAAAAGCAGCTTTTAGTCTTTTACGTCTTTTATGATTCATCTTATGTTTTTGTTCCTTTTAAAGGTTTTGGTGCCAAAAATTCCTGAGTTCAAAGGCAAGATGATAGAAGTGGAGATTTATGAAACAGGAAAGCATTTCATGAAGGGACAGCCATTTGGCAATGCCAAGGTCTTTACCCCTTCAATTGCCAAGCCTCTAGAGAAGGGAGAGGTCTCTGGATTGACCACTGTAAGTATAAGAAAGCTGATAAATGTACATTTTGGTTCCTTCGTGGATAAATATTTTTTATAGCCTGTACATCTCAGTAGCAAGTGTTATATTGGTGCTGTGTCTTGGTAATTTTATATCATTACAGGACAAAAACATGTTTTGTCTTGACACTGAACGTGAACTGGATTTGTTTGCCAGGCCCAGAAAATACAGGTTCACCTGAAAGCTTTTAGGTTATCAAGCAATTTTTGGCATTAACCCTTATATTTCTAAAAGGAACTGAGGTTACCATTAGCTGGTCCACCTTAATTTTAAGATTAACAATACTAAAATTATCAATACTAAACTATCATGAATATCTGATTTGCACACAAAGGTCTTTTTCCCCTACAAAAATTAATTTGTCACCTGGTCATCAATTCTGGAAATTAATATTTTCCTATCTCTGTTTTCAAAGTAATATCTCTATGTAATTTACAGATTCATGAAAATCCTAATAGGTGATTGGTAAGTTAATCAAAAGGAATGTCTGCTACCCTGGGCTCCCAACTACCATAGATAACCTAAACTTAAACTTTGGCTTATTATTTTTATGTTTTTGAGTGCAGCATACTGCTATTTAGAGTTGGTCTGTGTCAAAATGTAAACTTTTTTGTGAGTTATAAGAGAAAATGTATGCACTGCCCCCCAGATGTACTCAGATGAAATAAGACCCTAAAATGTCATATGACAAAAGATTTCTGAATAGGATCATTTGTCCTGCTGAAAAAGTTATACAAATAACTTAATAGAATGTATAACATTTATTTGTCATAATTAAGGTCCAGAAAACACCAGGGTTACATTTAGTTGCAACCTATAGTTAGTGTTTAATAGATCTTCCCCTGGTATTGATTGCTCTGATAGTTCTGTAGTGTGATCTGAGGTTCTGGAACTTTTGACCATATCCAAAAAGGTTTCTCTAGGTCCCTAATATATATATCAGGAATTAATCTTGTCTTCCTTAAAAAATGCATAATATTGTTATTCATTATAATTATTCCATTAACTACTTTTAGTACTATAAAGGCACATAGTAATATAAAGATAACCGAATCATTTAATTCCTTAATAGTTTGAAATAGAAAGAGCCGGAAAGTAGTGTACCCCGGGCCTGTTCATCTGCTAAGGAAGAAGCCCAAAATAAAAACTTGTAAAACTTGTAAACTTGTAAAAACTTGAGGCAACTTGTAAAAAATGCTGCTGTAATGTTTTGGCTATTTCTGCGCAATGTAAGGGTATTGTCTGTGCAAGATAATCTAGTTTGCTTGGAGAGAGAACCTTATTGCAGAGAACAGGTTGACAACTGAATTGAATCGCAGTGACATGAGAAATGTTTCCTTCAACTGATTGATTATACACTTTCTCACCATGAACAACAAATTAGGCTTTGCTTTTAGTGTTGTCCTACAAACATGAGCTTCTTGTTCTTACAATTGCCACTGATCTTATTTTCATGCTTTGATTTTTGTTCTTCTTTATACTATATTTATTCAAAATGTTTATTTTTTATGTTTTTGCTTGGGGTAGTTTTCGGTTTCAAGTTTTCATATAAGCATGTTAAATGAATAGTACATCTCAGTGTAAACATCTTAAACGAGCAGTACATCTGACAGATCCTATCTGTTCACATTTACTTAATTTTAGTCTGTCTGAAATTATGTAGCCATTGGTGTCTACATAAAAAAGGTGAATGAAAAGTTAGAATTTGTGCTGAAAAGTAAAAAAGAGGTATCTTGCTGCCACCAAACATTTAGATTCTAGACAAGACTGAAGAAAAAGAAATCTATAATCATAATATTTTGGTAGGTAAGTACTTTATTAATCCCATTCGGAAAATTAAAGTTCTACAGCAGCCAGGCACAATTAACACAGTACAGCACACATGTAGTAATACAATACAATAAATACATTTAAAAAAATGGAATAAAGAGTTACAACCAAAACAGGAAAAGCACAAACATAAAAAGTATGAATGTACAGAATGCAAGGAAGATGTAATATACATTATAGATGTTGCACACTCCCAAGCATATTGCACAGTTGTGAATAATAAATTGTTAATGTGTTGTTTTTTTTATTTCAACATCCACCCTAGTAGTAGCATAATTGTAACAAGAAACAGATTGATTAATATAACCAAATACAAATAATACAAATTGTTTTACAGAGTCTACTTCATGCAACAGGTCATTTAAAATAGAACAGAGCACCTCATCAGCCTCTCATACCTACTGAGAAAATAGTGACTCATAATTATGCAATCCAGTGGGTTTTTAAAAAGACACAGTCATTCAGAATTATCATATTTGTCATGGGTTGTGCATCTGATAAATCTGATCTAGGAATAGCAAAGCAAAATTATTTTTACCTTTGCTATAAGGAAGATCAGAATACACTTAATGATGTATGTGGTGTGATTTTTGTTCAAACTCATCAATACAAAAATACACATTTTTTTCCCTCGATATAACTGATCAGTATATTTGCTCCATCTTCTCTTGCTTATCATGTACCCTGTTGCTCTAACTTTCATGAAAATTTTAAGCCCCCCACAAGTAATTTTGTGTAGCTTGTGTGAATCAAATGAATGTTTTATTTCTCAGAACTGTGAACAAGAAGCATACTGCACAACAGGATTTTTAAGGCTTATTTTGTCTAGAACAACACGAGCATGTTGTACCATGACAGTCTTATTTTGATATGATACACATAAAACTCCTCCTTTCATTTGGATAAGAATAGGGCACATGCAATATTTCAAAATATTTCATTTTCCAGATCTAGATGGTAAAACTAATGCAATTTCCTGAATAATTACTTTATAAACTAACTGGTCACTCCAGCAAGCTTCCAAGAGCATATATGAAGTATTTTTCATGATTTCTGTATTACACTTGAGATTTGTACTACATCAGGTTTTAGTTGGACGGCATAACCTTTTTGGGCATGCACCTATGTGTGTGTGGCAGAGGTTAATAATGTCATGTATTATGTATATTTAGATTTGGAGTTTTTTGTATGTTATAATGTAAATGTGGTATTTCCAGGATATCTGTTATTTTAGTCTAAGTAAGAAGAAAAACAGTTGATTAGAATTATTTTAATATGTTCCCTTCAAATTTACAAGAACAGTAGTGGTTATTCTTATTTATGGAAAGAAATATAAAATGAATGCATGAATTAAGAAAAAGTGACTTAATGCAGTGATTCCCTGCGTGCAGGAACACATAGTGTGGTGGATAGACTGTACTGTTGTATTTTAAGCTTTAATTTACACACCATTAAGCCATTTTTCCATCAAACTATAGACCTATGCAACCATTTTTCTGACACCAACTCCTGACTGAAGAAATATAATTATTAGGGGACATTAAAGGTCAAAACAATAACTTGGATAGATTTAAGTGTGGACTATAATGATATGACAGAAAATGATTTGAAAAGAAGAAAACATTTCTCTTGAAAGACAGTAAGTAAGAGCAGTGATGATAAAAAAACAGACAAATGTGCTGTAAATTGTAGCCTTTTACTAGAAAAAAGCAAAAAGCACTTTAAAATTAAAAACATTATGTCATGAGACCTCTATTTTGTGCCTTGGCAAATGTGGCTGTCTGCCAGAGTCTTTTTTATGTTCTGCTGAACCAGGGCTGTAAAAGCTGATGGAGTGTGAAATTAAAATGTGTATCACATTTCTGAGCATCATTTGATGTCCTTTACTGCAGTACAAATGTACAGAGGTGCATCTTTGAAAAATAACATGTAGCTGTAGATTAACATATGGAAGAAAAATAGTGACAGTCTATCCAGGCATATAATTTCCAAATTGCTTTTAGAGATCAGTTACTTTTCTTTATCTAAAAAAGTTGGAAAGGCTATTAATGGTATTTATTTAAGCAGTGAGTGAGTTTTTTCTTTACATGAAAGGACAGGGTCAGAAGTATACAGGGATGTGAGTGTGCAGTGAACAGCGATGATAATTCTTTGGGGAATCCAAAATCACACTCCTTTTAAATTTCATATTGGTCTTAATTTAAATTGGTATTTAGACATATCCTGCAGATAGGACTGTATGAACATACCAAAATCCATTTGCATTCAATGTAATAACAGTAGTTTAAGTGTCACATTTAGCATTGTTAGTCTGTGCACAATTTTTTGTAGCTGCCAACCTTTTTAAGTTGTTACTTCATAGTAAGGTGTAATGATAGAGTTGCATGGGAAATTGGAAAATAAACGGTTATAAAGTCACTGTTAGAAATTGGGCCACTTTCATTTGGAAAATGTTTCGATAGTAAGGCTCAGTCTTAACTTCCAAGTTTCTTCTCTGAGATTTTGGAAACATGAGGGCACTGCAATGTGAGTCAAAAGGTATACTGTAACGTAATCCTTTTACACTGAACTTAAGCCAGAGATTAATCATCAGGCAGTAAATTTAGTGAATGCTAAGGCTTACTTATTACTTTCTATAGGAGAACAGTCTTGTCTCAGATTTCTGTATTAAATTCACTAATGTCAGGAGAAAAATGCCAATTCATCAGTTCTGTTTTTCCTCTACATTTTCTTTGGGTTCAGTATGTTCAGCTTTGAGAAAAGTGTACTGGTCTGTCGTTTAAATATTTAGCAGGATATTGTTCAAATGATTTTAAGTTTTCATATCTTTTTGCAGTGTACCACGGAAATCTTATAAACCCATGATTTTGAGAATTAATCCTTTAGATTGACAGTGTAGTTGTTGACAAATAGCGTAGAAGCAAAGGATCATGCGTTGATCATGAGTTGTAAGAACACAAAAGTTAAAATTTTTTAAGGTTTTTATTATTATAATATGTCATTAATTGCAGTGCACTATTGTATTATTATATCTTACTGTAAGGATCTCTGATACAACAATCCACATGCACTTGACATGTTGACAAAGTTTTGATACAATTCTTTTATCAGTTGTCAGTTTACCCTGCTTTCCTCCCTGTCAGTTGCACAACAGCATGGATGCCGAAGTGGAGTACCTAATCAATTCAGTTTATATTTAACATTGGTTTAGATCACAATTTAAACTACTGTATACTGCATTTTAGCTTTGGTGATAAATGAAACAGTGTTTCAAAAATTTCAAGATACTTTTGAGTTGTACTGAGCTATAAAGTAGGTCACTATCAGAAAAAAAAAATATTTTTTAAAGTCTGAAATAATGTACCAAAGATGTAGGCAGTTAACTCTACTAAGTACTTGATGGTCTGCAGAAACTAAATTATAGACTTGAGATTACATGTCAGCCAGCTGACTTTTGACTACTTTCTTGTCTGTAGTTAATGTGGAATTAAATACTGAAAATGGTTTTGTATTGAGAAATATTCATAAGAGTTACAACGTGACCAGTGATTTTTAAAATAAAAATGGCCTTTGAAAAAAAATGTAGGATAAATACCTGATTGTCATTAAGGTGTAGTCAGTTTGCAACTGATGTTTCTGCTCTGCAAGAAACTATTTGATTTGTCATCCTCCTTCATCCCCTTTTCCCTGGCCATGCCACATCTTTTAAATTTTACTGTAATCGATAAAAACTACAAACTGCAACAATGTAGCCAAGATGGTGCAGATGCCTCAGAACTATCAACAGGATTCCAGAGTATTTGAAGCAGAAAAAGAAGTTATTGCTTTAAGGACAGAGCAAGACTTATTTAAAAATAAGTGAGTAAATCAAAACTTATTTTTATATGCTGAAAACAGACAATTAGAATATGATTTATTATATTTTGTCTGTTTGGGTACAAAAGTGCATGTGTAGTTATGTTTTTTTTTTAGTTTTTAAACTTTTTTTTTGTTGGATGCATAGCTTTTTCTAGCTCATTATTGTCAGAGGGAGAAAGTGAAGCTTTAAACACTGTAACTTTTTACTAATATTTGAGAAACATTACCAATTAAAAAAAAAACATTTTTATGTGGTTATCTTAGATAAAGATTTGCTATGTGAAACTCTAGACTAAGCAGATCTGTGTGGGGAAAATTCAAGACTAGGTGAATCTACAAAATTTGCATTCAAATTGAAACTGAAACTGATTCAGCTAATGCTACAGAAAATAGTCTAGAATTAATTTAGAAATCCAGCTAAAATGTGTGAGGTGAGGACTGTAAGATAAGAGCAATCCTGCATGTTTCTAAAACATTACAAAACAGCTACATCTATTAGGGTAGCATGGCTTCTTGACATTTATAGTACTGTAATAGAACAAGCTAATAAACAACTTATTGTTTTTAAGAGTTTTAGATGTATGTTCAGAAAATAATGAATTCGCATTTGGATCATATATTTTTAAAGCGACCGATTTCTAATACAGCATCTTTGGAACCATGTAATTTTTCGTTATTTGAATTTTAAAGAGTGAAAAAACTCAGGCTGAGCTCCCTGAAGGTCCTTTATCGTTATGAACATTTACACAACTTGTACTGCGTAGGTAGGCATGAATTGTGCTAGCAGTCTTGATTCTCATCCTGAAAGAAATTGAACAGTATATACCCTTTACTATCATTTTGTATGGAATATATACAAAATGTAATAAACAAATCTCTTACCCTCTTCGAGCATATTATCATGCTTTCCTTTTCAAAACCAGGTTTATGAGAAAGTTGACTGCTTTTTATTTACCACTTACATTGCAAAATGATCACCGAACAAAAATGGTATCAGGTGTCCAGGGAAACACATCTGTTAGGATGTTTATAAAGGCATAAGTCTTGGGTAACCTACAGAGGCTTGATGGATATTTAACAATTTTTATCTATTTTAATGCTAAATATCCAGTGTGAACTTGGTCCCAAAATTCCAGAAAAATATCAAATTCTGTCTTGGCTATTCGTCCAGGCATCTAGTGTTTTTATTAAGAAGGAATATCCCACTGTCCTATAAATATGAAAATAAAATTAGGATTCTCATTCCAAAGTTTGAAAACAGATTGATTCTTGACTTTAAAAATGTAAACTGGTTGTTTTTATCCCTCAAGACAGCTTCAATGTTATTGCTGGATCACAGGGATTTGCTACAATGCAGTCGTTGAAACAATCAATATTGCAAGTGTGGAGGAGCCTTCTCTTTTTACCTCCTATCTGCTTTGTTGAATATAAGTTAATCTATCTAATGCTTTCAAAATCAAGATCACCACTTTAAGCGCCAGCAGTATTATATCTGTATTAATTTAATTTTTTTTCCAATTGTTTATTGGCAGTTATGACCTTTAAGCTGTTGCCCTCTGGGTCAGACAGGAGAGCAATTTTTATGACCTTCACGTAGTGTGGTGTAAGACAACTAGTAACTGCAGTTAAACTTGACTGAGTGTGAAATTAAAGATAGGAGCTACAAGATCCTGCCATATTAAAATGAGCAGCCATTACAAATAATTAAGTGGTACTCTGTTGCACTTGGGTGCCATTTTGTATTTGTTGTTGTGTTCTACATTAGGTGTTGCATTATAACAAGTATTTCAGTGCTTTTAAATTAATTTACATTGACCACAAGCCAAAATCATACACTAAAATCTAAAATAGAACCTACTGTATAGCTCCACTTGCCTGAAGCTATACTACTTTCATTTAAATTATATTTATATTAATGCTGTAAATAATTATTAACACAGAGCAAAATGACATTTGTACTCATAATGTTTTGTACTTGAATAGCAAATTTAAAATTATCTTTACTTTCAGACAAAACGGCAGAATTAAGTTGTCATATGTACTGTGTGTGATATCTTAGTATTTCATTCTGTGATGTAAAGATAAAATCAAAAGTTGAACTTTTACTTTTTTGAAATTTTTGTTCTCTTTCTTGCTCCTTTCTGACATTTTTTCTGCACACAATTTATTTTAAAACTTAGGCTTTAAATTTAACTATTGTTTAATGTGACAAGATTACACACATCTTACACATGTTAATTGTCCTATCAAGCTGGCTAGAGGCTGGGATGCTTGTTCTTTTAAAAAATATAACTGTTTATTTTTCTGCATATTAAGTCACAGTGGTGGAGTGGCATCTTTGGAAAGAAAAGGTAGGAGTGCTTGAATGATTGTCTTTTCAGACAATCTGGGAGTCTTAATGCATTGCATTAGTTTTAAATGGAGAAGAACATTTAATTCAAATGTAATTAAATCAATGATCAATAGTATCAAAGTGGCTAAGTAATGTACTCACGTATTTTACATATGCATATTTGAATTAACAAATTTGTAGAAACCCCAGATTAAGAGGTTGCATTTTTGTTAAAAAGCAGTAAGCCTATTAAAAGTTTAATTCATAGCAACATCCCTTGGGTGATATAACATACCCATCTGTATATTCACATTTTATACTACGCTAAAAGCACTTTAAACTTTAGTTATGAACATGGACTATGGACTACTTTAAGTTCAACAAACAATTCATGATTTGCTAATATTATTTTCCTTTATATAGAAGCCCACTTAATAGGATGCATGTTTTGAAAGATCCACAGGGACCAGATGCTTGGTTTAAAACCCTGTACATCTTTTAACAACTTTTTAAATCCTTTGCTTTCAGTACTGATCACAGTTTTTAACTAAGTGCTGCTTAAATCAGAGCTCTCTTTGTAGTCAGTCTGCTTGAAACCTCTGCTTGAGTTTCACCCGTCCTCCGTCTATTCCGTTGAATGTTGAATTTCAGAAAGATTTGTGTTTCTGTTTCATAGTGTTTTTCTGGAAAGTTTCAGTCAAATTACATTATGTGGGTAATTGGGGTCATGACCTTACCATTTTATATCCAGTTTTGCTCTAGAACTGTTCATGTTGTATAGTGTGTATGGTGCAGCACCATCCACAAAACAGTCAAAAACATCATTAGCGCATAATTCAGCCTGGCTCACAATAAAAGCCCTGATGCAGGTGTTTGTCACAAAGACACATTATATGTACCAATCACATTATAGTGGAAAAATGTAAATTTTAACAATATTTGTAAGTGCGGTTTTTAATAAATGGAAAGACTTCTGGAGTATCTCTTCAAATGGACAAATATAGTGAATTTGTGAACACTAGATACAGGCTTTTCTTTGTAAAAGTGTGGAACTCTGCAGTTAGGCTGAAATTTGAAAATAAAAAAACAAGTATCAACTCAGTGTATAAGAAAGGAGTACAGTGCTGATTACACTACCGCAGATTAACAAGCCAAAAAGCATATGGATCAAGGATAATAGATAAGGCTCTATAAAATAAATGAAATGTATTGACCAGTATAGAAAATGTAATTATTAAAGAGTAGGCTACTGTAGATCTTAAAAAAGTTTAATTTATTTTCAGAAATATTGTAGATAACATTTATTATTTATGTTTCTATAAGATAATTCTTTTTCAGCATTTCAATTTTCTTTATATTTCCTGAAATGAAACTGTGGATTAAATTCTGGAGTGTTTTATGAAAAGAACAGAGACATTGACAAGAGAAGAGCTGTTCTCCAGTACTAAAGATCCTCCATTTTTTCTCTTTTTCCCTTTCCAACAGTGCACCACAGCTATTCCAGTCACCTTGATAGAAAGTGCCTTTACCTATTGTGTCAAACCAAAGAACTCATTATGCTGGTGTCTGTGGTTCAGCACAGATTCTCTGAAAAGGAAAAAGGATGTTTCACATACACTTACAAATGTAAGCACCCTGGACTCCACTACAGCAAAAGTACACTTGAATAATGAGGTCTTTTCATACAGTCGTATTTGAAGCTAGATTTAAGAAAAAAGAAAGATACTTCATCTTGCAGTGACAAAAGGTAGAACTCTGAAATCTGCTACATCAAATTGTATAGTCTCACACATATTCCCCAGCTTTCTCTTTATCAATCTTTATGTTTATTTATTTCAAGGCCTTTTTCACTGAAATACTGCTGCGAGATGCCACCTTGCTATATAAACTAAGCCTTGGAGGCTGCTGAAATACAATAATACATTTACATTATGTATGTCAACAACAGTGATAAAATATCGAATAGCCATTAAAAAGTGTCTTGTGGTGCGCCTACTGGAGATCTCACTGAATTTATTCATGCCGGCGATGATGCTTTAATAATTCACAGGCAGTATCTCTAAACACCTGGAAGAGGGAATAGATTCTGAAGCAGTTAATTGCTAACTGCACAATTTTGTATATTTACTAACTACACTAGTGGAGTATTGCTGGCATTTTGCATCATTCTGCCTACAGACTAACAATTCCTCTAGGATAGTCAGATGGTAACTGCCCAGAGCAGCTTAGCCCAAATAAAAGCTACAACCTCCAAAGATTGGCTTGCCTGACTTCAGGGCCATTTTTAAACTACTTTTCATTCTAGAAAGAAAATAAAGGCTCAGTGCCACATTTTAGATATAATATTTGCACTTGGTTGCTAGTGCTTTTTTATTATTTTTCTATTCTTTTATTTTATTTTTTTAAAATGCTTACAGAAATGGTTCAGTTACTCACGCCACCATAGTTAAACACATAAGAAGAAAACATAAGATCATAAACAGAGAGAGGTCAATGGGTCCATCAAGCTTGTTTGCTAGCTAATTAATGCATGGAACCTGACCAGTCATTTCTTAAAGGAGGCTAAGGTATCAGCTTCAGCTTGGTAAATTAGTTCACCCAAAACAGTGAAATGGTGCAATTACTTTGGCACATCTTGATATGTACCATGTAGAATCTGTACCTTGGAATCTACAGAGTAGTATTAATACCATAGTTAACATATCTTGATGTGAAGTACGCTCTTTGACTCCCATTTCATTAAATTATTCACTTAAGTTCATTTGTCATTCGCTTGATGACAAAGTGTTTACTGTGTCAGCATAACTTTGAATAGGTCTTTTTAATTTGAATACCTTTGAGTAAACAAATGTACATATGAAAACTTGAAATGTTAGAATTAGTTATAAAGAGTTAGCTCATGCACCTGTTTCTACAGATTTGTGTGCCATTGATTTTTAATGTCAATAATAGCCCTACTTATGTTTTGGTTTAATAAAAATTACAATAATATTATAAATAATAACATCTAAAGTTATTAAAAAACATGTTTTATCATTTAGTGTGATCCTTGCGCTAGTGTGATCTTTCACTTGCTTAATTTGGTTGTTAACCAGCTACGGGAGGTACAAAAAAACTGATTTAATGTGTGAAAATACATGTTCCCAGGTATGTTGATCCAAATGCTGAAAAAATTCCACAATTGCCATCTTTTAAACAGAGCTTAAAACACTGTGTGTTTTCAAAGTTATTGACATTTGAAACATTTTGTCTCAAAAATAAAACAGTGATTAAAAGAAGTCACTGTTTGCCTTTAAGAAAATACAGGAACCAGATCTTTAGGTAGTGTTGTTCAGACGCTATTGAAAGTTTAGTTCATTCATATGCATGGTGTTGTTGGCTAGAAACATTCGTTTTGCAACTCTTTTTTCACCATGCTGGTCAAAAAGACAAAAAGATCTTGATTGCATCAAGACAGTCCACAAAGAGCACCATGACCTTCCCACAGCTTTACACTGTTTGACTTTACACTTAAGTGTGAAAAATGTTATCAATGGCATGGATTGCAAGCTTTCCTGTGACAACAATAGGCTGAGCCTGCGAAAAATATTGCAGTAAATAAACCAAGCAGATCATTTTTCCTACAGCAAAAGGGCTTTCATTGGATAGTATGTTGTAGAGAACAACCAGGCAAGCATAGTTGTTTTTAACTTATTTTCTTTGGGTCTTGTTTTTAACTTTTATTCCACGTGCTGCTTTCAGTGCTCGTGCCATTAAAAATCCCTTTGCATGCCTATAATGGCACGCATGCCATAGGTTACCAAACCCTGCATTGGATAATACAGTTACAAACAAGAGGAGTCCATTTGGCGTTCTAGCTCATTTGGTAGTTAGTAGTTAATTGATCTAAGGATCTAATTTTAATAAGGAAGCCATTTTTAAAAGAGGTTAGGGTATCGGCTTCAATTACATGGCTCAATAGCTTGTTCCGTACTCTCACAACCCCTTGAGTAAAATAGTGCCTCCTCTTCTCAGTTTTAAATGCACTTCCGGATAGTTTATGCTTGTGTCCTCTGGTTCTGGTTTAAATGTTCATTCTGACGTCTGCCAGGTTGACATCTTCCTTAGTTAACACCTGAGTGAAGTATTCATTTAGTGCATTAGCCATTTCTCTCACAGTGTCTAGGTGTTTCCCATTACTGTCCAAGAGGTATTTTACTTTATCCATAACAGTTCTTTTTTCATTGTAATACTGAAAAAAATACTTTTATCATCATTAGAACCTTCATTGCAGTATTCCTTACAATTTCACTTTCAGTCTTTCTAATGTAGTTTTTACAATGTTTTTACATTATACTCATTTTCTTTAACTGGATGATGTTGGTTTTTAATCATTTTATGCAGCACATTCTTTTACCATATATTTTCCCATTTGATTTGTTGAACCATTTTGGATACCATTTGTTAGCTTTTGATTTACTTTTGTTAACCAAAATTTGCAAACCATTGTTTAATCTTAGTAATAATAGCATGTAACTGAAATATATATATATATTCATATACAGCACATACTGGCCTGGGTATATTATTCAAGGTAGAAACAAAGATTAGAATGACAGTCCTTTAAAATATTCTCTTACTATACAACAGTGTAATTTTATAATCATGTGCAAGGTGTCATTTGTAGTAGTGCTTAAATTATGCTATAATACAGCTTATGTACAGTATATAAAAATGTATGTGATAGTTTTGGTTAAAAGATTATAATGATCCTAAGGAAAGCGATCAAGTAGAAATGAAAACTTCAGAAGTGAAAGCTGTTTCTTTTTCTCTTAATTATAAAAGCACTTCAGAAATAACCACTTATGTGACCTGAGAAAATTTCAATCCCAGATTTCCAAATGACTGAAGATATAGTCAGCTAAGCCTTCCTTACCCTCTAATTTTATATTAATGATCTGCAATATTCAAGATCATTGGTAGCCAATAAAAAAAATGTTACAACTGGTATTGGATAGATTTTGTTTCATTTCAAGACCAAGACTTGTCTCATTGTTCAGCCTCTATTGCTATGCCTTGGAGAGGTTAGATTGTGTCACATCATGCCGTTTATCACTTCAAGAAAAGGGCAGGTGTGTTGAAAGGTGTACCTAGGAGATCAAGTGAAGGAACGTATTCTTTCACTGCTAATTGATTGCAGGTGAAAGAAGATATCAAGCAGAAATGTCACAGAGACATAGCTTCCAACTCTGGTTCAAGGGGAATAATGCTAAGACTTTGGAAAATGTCTTTGGGTTGTATGTCACAAAAGTGGAAAAGACTGCTTTTTATTTCTTCATCTTATTTTTTATATTTATAAAATATATGATTTATATGACTTAATTTTACTAGTGGTACCTAGTTTCTATACATTTTCAATTTACATCTGAGAGTTGTCAAACAAAAGAGCAATAGAAAACAGCAAAAGTACACATACTGTAAACTAATATGTTTAAATGTATGTGCTGTATGTTGAGTAAAACTATTATTCAGTAGTTAATAGTTAATTTACAGAGTTAGCAGTTAATTGCAGTAGAACTTTACTGATTGTTTCAGGGATACATAATTATACATAATTATAGTCATACGTATTCTGAAGAGCTGATCATTTAGATTATAAAGCTAGCAGAACATATGATAGAAAATAACTGGGATTAATGTCTTTCATTTAGTGGTAAAGCACAACATGTGTAAATAGATTTTTGAACTTTTTCAAAGTAAGACATTAATAACTGTATTTGAAAACAGAGAATAGCTTACAGTAGCAGTATTTTGTTTTTTAGACTTTTGTGTATATCTGTATGGGTGTGATTATCCAAAATCTTAAAAACTCGATTTTCTAGCAATGCCAAACTTTCCTGACAAGCAGTTCAAAGAGGTAACTTGTGATTAATTTGAGTTCAGCTCCAGTTCGGCTCATCTTTCAATTGTAAATGTTCTGCGTTTTGGACCTCTCACCAAAGCATCGGCATAACCCTGTGACATGAAAAACTTAACATGTGAGTTTACATTTTAAAAAAAAACCTTAAACATTGTAGAAAGACTTGAAGCGTAAAAAAATGGAACAGCATGGAGACCTTGCGATTTCTTGCACTGCTAACACACAGCAAACACTGTCATCAGACACATATAAAGAATTTAAAATAATATTTTTTACTTCTTAAATAGATTTGAATTTAATCAAATTTAAACACCTCTGGCTAGTTATGGAGCAATTTAAGCTTGGCTGGACAGTGTTTTGCATGGTAAGCTCCCTGGGTCCAGAGAAAACATCAGACATGAAAGCGATGTAACTGATTCTGAAAAAGGAACATCCACCACAGCCAGAGTTTTCCACACAGTTTACAAAGAGGCTCAACGTCATAAACTGTCTTGTGGTTTTGAACACAAAATTAATCCTCACTAACTGAATGGGATTCATATGGGACTGATTTTGCATTACAGTGATGCATGCTCAAAAATTCAACAATATTTCCTCAGAAACGAGAAGAAAATTGTTTGAGGAGATTGTGCAGTGTGTTCCTAACATATGTCTAATGCTTTATGAGGCTAAAATGTGAACAAAGAAAGTGCCTTAATTGTGTAAGCCTTCTACTGAGAATTTTAGG